CCCAACAAAAACCAGTTTCACTTTTATTTACTGAAAAGCCAGAGATTTCTGAGAGTAGCCGGGGTATTGCCCCAAAGAACTGCTCTGCCTGCCCCCTCTTTCCCTTTGTTACCTTTTATTCTCACAGTAATAGTAAACATCAGTAATGTTCTTACAAGTTAAACAGATTCCTTCTCATAGGTTACAAAGTTACACAATATCTTCCTATCTTATAGTGGTTATATCTTAAAGCATTTTTATTCTAGACTAAATTTATAGTTAGTCAACACTTCACTGGGTGCACAGAGTGCCCTGGGTCCTTGACCAGTACCATGGAGTCCAGTACCCAACTTATCTATGATAATAGCCTTGGAAGTGAGTAAGCAATCTCCAGATGGCAGCACCGAGGCTCCTCCAGCTTTGGTAGGGCCAGACCAGCAGCGCCCTGCATGAAATGGCAGTTCAGGTTAACAGTGGCTGGTAACAGGGTTTAATATGTAACGTAACAGCCATCCAGGGAAGGCAGAGCAAATCCTCAAATGGTTTGGCCTCTGGGTCCTTGAGCCTAAGGCTTTTTACCTTCCTCTCTCTCACAGCACACTTCCCCTCGCCGCCGTTCTTGCCTCCCCAACCCCCAGGTCCCCACACTGCTTCATTTCCCTCGGGGGCTCTGAGTTGTTGCTTTTGCCTACTATCTACCTAACTTTCCCCCAAATCAGCAGCTTTGCCCATTTGGAGGTAGAAGGGCAACCTGACGCCACAGTGAAGACAGCCTGACACCTAGTGGCTAGGAGACGCAACTGCCCCAGGCCAGGGATCTGGAGAGAGTCGCCCCAGCGGTCTGGGCAAATAGGCACTCTTCCCCGCCCCATCCTCCAGGGAGCGGGGCAGAGAGGGCTGGGACTGTTTGAGGGAGGATTGTGACAGCCGCTCGGCCCCCGGAGCGTAAGGGGTGGCCGTGAAAGAGGAGGTGATGGGTTACCCAGCAGTTCCTAAGCACCCACTCAAGCAGGGTGCGGGACAGGCAGGTAAACGCGTCAGTCTCTGGACGGAAGAAGGTAGTAATCCACTGGGCGAAGAGGTCTGGGCGGAGAATATTGTCGGAGGCGGGGTTCCCCCTCCCCAGGACCAGAGACTAGGGGACGAGGGCGGGGACAGGTAACGTCCAGTTTTGCCCACAGAGTAGAGGGTGGAGAGAAGAGTTCTCGCGGTACCCGCCCAAGTCCAGGGAGCCGGTGGCCGAGGGAAAGAGAGGACGTGGGTTAAGAGGCAAGCGAACGAGGGCTGCTGGGGACTCCGTCGGCAGTCGGGAGGCGCCAGCAAAGGGTGCTTTGGCGGCGGCGCCCCCAGAACAGCTCCTTGTTGCCCGAAGTCCACGGGAGCCAGGCGGGGCCCGGGAGGCCCCGGGGAAATGGGGCTCGAGCCCTTCGCGCTACAGAGGCGCCAGAGGGGCGGGGGCAAGCAGGCGGGGTGGGGGCGGGGACCCCACGGGGCGGAGTCGAGCGGCCTAGAGGGCTTCGCTGATGCTGTGTGCGGCTGGCGGCCGGCACGGACCGGCCGGAAAGGGATCCTGGTTCCCAGAACAGCCCAAGGAGGTGGCCTAGAGGGCGGACAGACAGACAGCAGAGAGGGCCAGCATGCCCCCACTGCTGCACCCCGCCCTGCCGCTGCTCCTGGGCGCCACGCTGACCTTCCGGGCGCTCCGGCGTGCGCTCTGTCGCCTGCCCCTACCCGCCCACGTGCGTGCCGACCCCCTGCGCACCTGGCGTTGGCACAACCTGCTTGTCTCCTTCGCCCACTCTATTGTATCAGGGATCTGGGCGCTGCTGTGGTGAGTTAACGACTAGGGGAATGAGAGGGCGAGGGAACCTGCGCGGCTCGCTGGGGCTGGTTCGCTTATTACTATTCCCATCACTCACCGTCGGGCATAGGGTCATGCTGTCTCACCTGATTCCCTGTTTGGACTCTTATCCAACCAGAAGCTGAAATGGCCTCAGGCGAGGGGGAAGCTTACCTGGGAAACTGGAGGCACCTGGGTTTCGGCCAAGCCCCTCCTTGCTCCCCAGTCAGCCAATATTGCAAGCTCAGGCTCTCCTGAGACCGGGGGTGATGGGGGAGGAGGAAAGTGAAGGTCCCTGGGGATGCCGAAATGAAGAGAGCCTCCTTTCTTCCCTTCCTTCCAGTTTATGGCAGACCCCTGAAATGCTGGTGGAGATTGAGACGGCATGGTCGCTTTCTGGCTATTTGCTCGTTTGCTTCTCCGCAGGTAGGTCTTGCGGGGTAAGTTGGGGGACAAGAAGAAAGCTGCTGTTCAGTCCTCTTCGTCACCTCCTCCCCCATCCATCCGCTAGGGTATTTCATCCACGACACGGTGGACATCGTGGTTAGTCGTCAGGCTCGAGCTTCTTGGGAATACCTCGTCCATCATATCATGGTAAGTGGGGGAAGCAGGTGGTGTGGCTGAGTCTAGTGCTAATATTCGGTCTCAGCTTGTTCTTTCTGGACCGGGTAGAAGGCCATGTTTTTCTAATCCCCTCCCACCTGTGTACTACTGTTTCCCATGCTAGGATGCTGGGGGATGGCACAGTCTGTGTACCCTTGCTCACTGTCTGAGGTCAGCAATTCATGGTCTCATCTAGTACTACTTTTTTTTTTTTTTTTTTT